ATCCACCTTTCAAGTTTTCATCTCTGTGAAGATGAGCAGTCTCACAGGAAACCCTTTCATCCTGTCTTTTACAGCCTTTTTACCCAAATTAGGAGACAGGACTACTGTCCTGAGTCACCGCCATGCCGGGTGAAAGTATACTGCCCCAAATGGGGTCATGTTAAGTCTCTCCTCCTCTCACCCATTCTCGTTTTAATGGGATTTTCATGGAAACAGAGTAACAGCATTTAGAATTTCTAGCATTGGGAGTTGATGCTATTGTTTCCCACACAGAGATAGGAAGAATAACCTGAAAAAGACAGCAGGGATCCCATTCCCTACATACATGTACATGTACATGCCCGTGTCCTCACATACGCTCCCACTTCCCTGACTGCTTGGGAGTATAACTAATCATAATATTCTTTAACATTTTGCCACCTTTATTTACATATTTAGCGTGCGTGTCACGTGCTACCCCACTTGTGTGGAGGCCAGAGGGTTCTCTACTTTCCTTCCACCATGGAAGGAACCAGGAATCAAACTCAGTTTATCAGGCTTGGCAGCAAGCCTCTTTTCCCCACTAAGCCATCTTGCTGGCCCCAGTTCATTTTCTGGTTGGGGGTTCCAATGGATCCTAAAGTACAAGCAGCTTTGGAGGAGGTTCAATCCAAAAGCTTCCTGATTCATGGCTCCCCCCCCCCCCCCCCAGAGTGTTACTACCAAATGCTCGTCAAGACTTAGCAAGAGCCATATGCAGTGCCGTTCATTTTAAATCTGGGTACTTGGGAAGCATCAGATCTATAAATTTCAAGCCAGCCTGGTCTACTCGATCAAGATTCAGGATAGCCAGGGTTACATAATGAGACATTTATAAAAAAAAAAAAAAAAAGAAAGAAAGAAAGAAAGAAAAAGAAGTAAAAAAGACTTGGATAGAGACCAATATTTCTCCATCTTAAAAACACAAATATTTGAAAACAATATTGTGTGTTTTCATCTCCAAAATGCCCTCCTTAAGTAATTGAAACTAGGTGAGGGAGGAATGAAATAGCATTGACAGAAAATGCAGTCAATTTGTGAGCACCGGCCATAGCCGGGATGATGGCTAGGAGTGGAGATGTGGAAGTCTAAAAGGCGGGATCCAAGGTGATCCCCACCAGAGCATTTAAGATTCAGAGAGCAAATTTTGAATGCACACTCGAGACCCTTAGAGACCCAAAGTCCATACAAATAGCCGTTTGAGTCACTTCCCGGTTGTCTTCAGTTAACTGCTAAATGGTCTGGCATGAGAGTAAACAGAGAGTTTGAAGACAACAACAGAGAGGACAACAAGATGGGTTTGAGGAGGAGGAGGAGCTGGATGTGGGACACTGGGAGTTTGGGTGGAACTCCGAGAAGGAGTGATCACTGAGGAAGGACGAACAGGCTGGAGAGCAGGAGGGCACAGAAACACAAAAGTTTTGAGAATTTGACATGTATATGAGATTTTGAGCCAATACATGAGAAATCAGCGACTTAGAGGTAAGAATGGGGTGTCAGATCAATTTTATGCACCCCGATTTACCATCTTCGTTTCTTGTCAATATGATGATTGCGGGGAAAAGTACAGGGACAGAAATCGCTGATCCCTGGTTCCTTGGTAACCCTGGTGGAAATGAGCTGAGGAGCGATCTGGTGGGAGGAAGAAAGGCAGGAACCTTTCGAGGGTGTTCGACCTTAAATTGGCAGACAGTGAGCTGGGCTTTCCCCGGGGCCCCGTGCTTGGGCTGTGTGCTGACTAATTCCATCCCGCTCAGAGCAGGAAGTCTGCCTGCAGCCGAGCAAGTGAAAGTCTGCACGGAACCTCCATTGGATCCGTCCCACACTTGCCAAAGAACCACTCAGAGAACAGAAGAGCTGAGATGTTTCTTAGCCATAAAGTACGGGAAGTTTAAGACTTTTCCTACCCAACCGACTTGCAAGGACATTTGGTTGTCAGTTTCCCAGTTTCAGAAGATGCCGCACGTTGAGACACAAAACAGTCTGATGATGTTTATGTGTGCTGTGTGTTTTGTTTTCATTATGCAGTCCAGGCAAGCACAGTCAAGGTCCTCTGGCCTCAGTTTACAAGTGCTGGGTTTACCAGTGTTCAAAACCATACCACATACCGATGTAATTTTATGGGACACGCAGCAGTTTCTCGAATTTTCTTCAGTTTGGGGCACCTCAGACTCCCTACATGGTGTGCATACTCAGGTAGGGGATGAAAATGAAGTCTCGGCTAGACATGGTGGTGCATGCCTTTAATCCCAGCACTCAGGGGACAGGGGCAGGTGGATGTCTGGGATTTGGAGGTCTATATGCCAAGTTCCAGGACAGTCAGGACTACATAGAGAGACCCTTTCTCAAAAAACCTAAATAAATAATGAATGAATGAATGAAAATAGAGAAGAAAATGGAGTCTCCACCTTCACATAAGTTCACCAGGGTACTAAGTTAGATGGCTCTGAGACCTAACGTTTGGTAGTGAGATCCTTTTAGACACAGGCTTCAGGGAGCAGTCTGAGCTTCTCATACCAAACCTTGGTGCTTGTTGACTCCCCTTGAAGAGATCTTGTCTTCTGCATGTTGCTTTACTCTGCATAGACATCACAGACTGGTTTGTGTTTCAGCATGGTGCCTTATGTGTAGTAAACCAGTGTAGATACAATGTAGACTTAGGAACGGTTTAGAAAGCTCCCTTGTCAGCTCAGCCACTAGGAGTGTGACAGCTGACATCTCATTTCCTTCCAGGGCTAACTCCTGGTATTTTTATTCATGATGGCTCTACACTGTGCATCTATCCTGGAAGAGGCTGTCTTTAAAGTCCCTAAAGGGCCCCAGGTAAATTACCTCTACAGCAGCATTGCTGTCAGATCTACTGCAAAATACAGGGTTCCACTGGATGTAAAAGACATCTATATTCCTCCAGTATAATACCCAGCCGGTTCTCCTTACCTCAGCCCAATCGTATCAGCCTTTCCCTTAAAGCCAAGCTTGCTTTAGTGTAGTCAGTGACAGAGCACCAGTATGGTAGCCTTCTTGACATTTACTTATTTGTCTGTTTATTTGCTTGTTTGTTTATTTATAAATGTTGAGCATGGTGGCACACAACCTTTTAAATGATTTATCCGTTTTATTTTATATGCAGGAGTGTTTTGCCTGCAAATATATGGCCATGTGCACTACATGTGTGCCAGAAGACGGTATCATATCCCTTGGATCCGAAGCTATGGATGGTTGTGAGTCAGCATGTGGTGTTGGGACTTGAACCTGGGTCCTCTGCAAAAGCAGTCAGCTCTCTTAACCACTGAGCCATCTCTTCAGTGCTTTTTTTTTTTAATTTTCTTCTTACCCAGTCCAAAGTGGATGCTAAATAAATTGCTGGTTGACAAGGAAACAGAAGTGCAATGTAAATGTCTCCACAGACCCATAGAAGCAGTTCAGCTCTGAGAGCGCCCTCGTTGGAACTAGACCTTTCTCTAGTGACTGGAAGCCTCTTGTACCCAGGGTTCTCACTCTGTATTCTGGTGAAACTTTGTTCCTGCTTTTCCCTCTTGTCTTTCTCCCAGAGCTTTTGCCTCCTCCTTTCCCTCAGCTCCTCCCTTCCCTCAGCTCCTCCCTTCCTCCTTTTGTCCTTCCTCTCTTTCTCCCTCCCTTTCCTTTCCTCCCCCACCTTCCCGTTTTCTTCTCTCTCCCCCACCCTCTTTTTCACTCCTGGCTTGGTCTCTGACAGGGTCTCTAGTTCCCTCTGCAGCCAAGGGCGACCTAAAACTTTGCATCTTTTTGTCCGCACCTCCTCAGTGCTGGGCTTGCAGGGGTGAACCACCACACCCTATTGATTGCTGAGCCAGGGCTACTCCAGGGCTTTGTGCACACCAGGCTATCCCTCTACCGACTGAGCTACATCCCCAGCCCACCTACCCTTTTTCAGAAAGAAGGAGAGGGGGAGAAAAGAAGAAAATTGGGAAGAGGAAACCAGAGCCATGAAGGCAGAAGGGAAAGGAGGCTTCTGTAGTTTCGTTCTCTTAACTGATACCCACGTAATTCCCAGTCCCATGACCCTCAGCGTATGGAGATTCATCCACAGCTTCGTGTGACAAATAATCATTGTGTTCAAAAGGAAGAAGAGGGGTTGGCTGGGCATGGTGGCACACACAGAGGCAGGCAGATCTCTGAGTATGAGGCTAGCCTGGTCTACGTAGTGATCTGAGATCAAAGTGATAGAGAAACCTTGTTTCTACAGACAAATAAGGTGGATAGATGATAGATAGATAGATCGATATAGTTAGATAGATAGATGATAGACAGATAAATTATAGGTAGGTAGGTAGATAGATACACAGAGAGACAGAGAGACAGACAGAGGTTGACAGAGAGAAGTAGAGAGACAGACAGACAGAAACAGAGATAGAGACAGAGGCAGAAAGGTTAGTTAGTCACTATGGATTATGACCTTGTGATGATTCTGAAAAAAAAAACCCATCATGATGGGGCTCATTATAAGACAAATTAACCAAGTACCCCTAAACTGGAACTATTCTACTGCATAAACTGAGAAAAAGGACTATGTGGACTTGGTGGGGTCTACAGATGCCCAGCAGTATGTACTCTCACAGCACCGCATGTCTGTCTTCAGTAGGAGACCCAGAGATAAGGTGACTAGAAGAAATGAAGCCTGGATTCCTTGTGCAAGGGCCTAAAAAGACAAGCTAGTTCATTAGCCCAGACAACCTCAGGGGAAGAAGTCTTCTGCTAGAGGGAGCGGTAAGCTGCAAAAAGTGTGGAGTTGGAGAGTAAAATCCAGGGTGTTTTGATGTCATTCCAGCCTGGTATTCCTACACCCCGAGCCTGACTTTCACATACATATCTAGTTCCAGGAGAACAAGTAACTTGGGGGATAAATGCAGGATTAAAATAAATCATATACTGAGAACTTTTGTTTGTAAATATGGTAGTAAAAAAAACTCACTTTAAAGTTCGAACTTAATTCTAATTTATAATACCCTTTACATGTACGTGATAAAACTACTTAACTGTCGTCTTGTTTTATGAGAAATTGGAGTTCAGATAAAAAGCAAAAGTAAACAGGAGAGACTGTAAGATCCTTTAACGTCTCCCCCAGTCTGCTTGGATTAAGATATGTGTCCAATCAATGACGCCCCGTCTCAGTGGCTGGTGAGAGCAGATACCCTACTGTCATGCTCAATGTGGGTCAGTCGGGAGACAGCTCACTGAACCAGCTCAGAGAGGCAGACTGGTGGAGAGTCCGACCACTCACCGCATTATCATTTCCCACACAGTTCCATAATCCCTGAGGCAGAAGAAGAAAGTCATGGTGAGTGACACATGGGTTTTACACACATTTCTGGAAGTGACTCACACATTTCTTGGGCCAGAGCAAGACAAAGAGTAAGGAGAAAAAAAAAAAAAAAAAAGGCCACGCTATGTTCCTGGAAGCAGAGAACAGCTTTTTGATGAATGTATTAGCGCCTTCCAGTATCTACCTCTCTTTCCACCAAATACTTTGTTCTAAGTTCCCACAGTTTTTTTTTTGTTTTTTTGTTTTTTTTTTTACTTTTTCCCTAAGGAGAAGCACCCCTGGTACCAACCACCCAATCAATGAATCCAGTGCAAATCTAGGGCTCATAATGTAATGTCTGTGAGTCTGGCTAATATACTACAGGTGACTACCTGAACAGATAGAACAGAAGCAGGAAAGCAATATAGCTGTTTCTATTTGGAAGGAAAAAGAATGGGAGCCGAGCAGGTGTTTATTTGAGTTTGTAGCTTTGACATTTTGCTCGACTGGGTCACGGGCACCTCTTATGCTTGATATACAGAGTAGCGCATGATTGCGGCGTGGTTCTGGGTTTGGAAGGAGGTCACTTGAGTTTTACTCCGTGGTTCTTGGTTGGTGAAGCTCGGGTGCTAGGATTTTGACACCTGCCCCTTGATGGCTAAGGTACCAGGATCAGCTCCTGGGTAACTCTGAGAGTGCACTCAAAGCTGAGCACATTTCTCATTTAAGTCAGAACTTTCCTTCCAAGCACTGCTCTCTGAACACCCATGTCTGTGCATTCCCGCAACTCTCTCTTCCTCGTTTGACTTAATGGAAGATTGCCAGAACGACATCCATACACATTTTATTCTGAGCCCCTGCATCTGATTATTTCATGCTTCATTCTGATTTTCATCCTTGGGAAGTTTGTTTGGCTGAAAGGCGTGTCTGCGCATTTCTCCCAGAAGCCTTTTCGTGGTTGCAGAACTCTGGACTCAATTCCCTGTATCGTTTGCAAACCTTCCAGGCCTGTCCTGAACTCTGTTTCTTTGTTATGTAACTTGTCAATTCAGAAAAATCTCACATACACAGGTAAGGTATTCGTTTTCTCATCTCTTTCTCTAAGGACACAAATTAATTAGATACAACATCTGCCTTTCAAGTTACTGCAATTTGTTGTTTAATGGATTGTGTTATGTAACATAGACCATCATTTATCTGACCTATAATGTAACTGCCCAATACGATGAAATTGTTTAAGCTTTTGTCGTGTTAGCTCCTCATTTTCAGACATTACTTTCTGTGTTTTCAGATATACTGCTGTGCTGTAGCATACATTCTGTGTGTGTATGTGTGTGTGTGTGTGTGTTTATGAGTGTAGTATAGGGTATGTTGTACTTGTGTACTTGGATGCACACACACACAGAGGTCAGAGAATGGCTTTTGGAGTCTTTCTCTATCATTCTCTATTTTGCTGTTATTGTTTCCACATAAGTCTCTTCCCGAGCCTGCAGCTGCCTGGCCAGCAAACTTCCAGAACCAATCTTACTTTGTTCTTTAGTCCTGGGGTTACAAGCATTCCCAGCTTTATGTGGGGGCTGAGGGTTTGAACTCATGCTGTTACTTTATTGGTTAGTGCATGTGCGGCAATTTTTACTGTAACCAGACATTTTGGATTTTGAACTTAATACAAATTTATAATAGCATAGACAATTACCTGGAACATTCTCCCACAGAAAACATGGAGTATGGCTCCAAGCCCATAGTAGGACAAGTTGGCTAAAACACTGACTAATCCGGATGTTTTGCCGGCTGCAATATTTTAATCACACGTGAGGCCGTGTGCAAGCCACTCCTGGGGATTACAGTTACCTACTGCTTGCTTTCTGTGCACTCTGGAGCTGAGTGCGGACATTTTTGAACCTCTCAAAGCTGGTGACGACACCGGGTCAGAGAAGCACACTCACCAGAGTTGGCTTATCATGTAGTCATTACTGTGTCCATCGCAGAAACACCTGGCTCCCATGGGAGGAAATGCTGAATAAATACAGGCTAGATTTAATGATCTGGACCTGTTGGTCCAGTTATCAGTTGGGCATCCCGGGAAATTGTTTTCCCTATGCAGCAGACAGCATTTTGACCACAGATGTGAAAGCCAGCTCTGCTCCCTTTGCTTGGAAGGTGCCGTTTCCCTCTCCCTCTGCCGTAATCCAGCAAGCCCTCTCATACTGAGTCTGGTGTTTTTAGCTCTTCTTTTTCAGGGTGTCTCTTATACTCTTCTACACTGAAGCACAATCATGAGGGGAAAGACTACAAGGAAAATGAGCATGGTAACAAACTTCTGTTGCCATGGCAACACACCTACCAATCAGCCTAAATGCATAGAGACTTATTTTGGTTCATGGTTTCAGAGGTGTCAGTGTGTGATCACATGACATCATGCTTCTCCGTCAAGATGAGGCAAGAGCATTGTGTGGTTTTCTTGAGTGCATGGTAGGGGGAAGCTGTTCACCTCCTGCTGTCTCCAAAGGAAAATGTGAATGGAGAGAGGGACGGAAGGAGAGGAGGAAGGACCTAGAACAAAATATATTCCTCAAATCTACTCTTACAGTGACCCACTTCCTCTTATTAGTCCCTATCTATCAGAATTTCTGCCTTTTTCTCATAGTCCGTTGGTTATACATGTAATACATCAATAAGAATGTCATAAGGAAGCCAGGCAATGGTGGCGCATGCTTTTAATTGCAACACTCAGGAAGCAGAAGCAGGCAGATCTCTGAGTTCGAGGCCAGCCTGACCTACAAGAGAGTTACAGGTTAGCCAGAGCTGCACAGAGAACCCCTGTCTTGAGAAAAACAAAAACGAAAAACCCAAACAAACAAGCAAAAGAGTGTCATAATGAAATGTATTATATTATGTGCTAGCCAAAAAAATTTATCTGTGTGTATGTGTATAAAATATCCAATGACCAGAGTTCTAGGTAATTCACAATATAGCTAATAAGTAAACCTAAAAAAATCCCTACAGATCTATAATGCTTTATTTTATCGATAAGTAGTTGTCACATCAAAAGTTGTCAACTCTACTTCCTGATCTCCCACTTCTGAACCCTGCTACAGTGACAATAAGCTGTCAATACAGAATCCTTTGACACACAGTGCAGATCCAGAAGTAACCTCATTCATGTGTTGGTTTGGAAGCTGGAGGCATACAAATGAAGTTGAAGTCTAAAAAGCATGTGATGAGGCCCTAAACTTCTCTGTGAGGTATGTATGGGGATTTTGGTCTCGTTATAGCACTTGTATTGAAGCCGTGTGCGCACACACACACACACACACACACACACACACACACACACACACAATACTGTGTGATCTAGATTGCATATTTGAGGATGCACATTTTGGGAGGTGCTAAGGACACCCCATATTTATTATGATCCTAGAGAACCATCCTGAACAGAAGCAGGCGAAAGTTAGATAGAATTTGAGCTTACCAAGTGTGAGGAGAGAGCAATGCCTGCCAGGATGCTTGGAGAGTATTCTGGTAGGAGGTGAACTTCTGACAGCTGCAGAGAAGGACGCAGAAGCTTCAACAGACAAAGAGAGGAGTCATGTGGATCAGTTCTGGATGCTCCTCAGTGAGAGAAAATGGAGATTTGTCAAATGTGTTGACAACAGAGGACAACAACTTTGAACTCTAGACCACACTCTGAAAGGAAAATGTGTACATTTACCTGATTTTAAAAAGTTTTTGGTTGAATTTTATACATGAATATATAGCTGTGATCAAATCCTCCTCTACTCCCTGCATTAGAGGAAACTTCATTTTGCAGTAAATGGTGATTGACACAGAGACTCATAACTGGTCAAAGTGTAGAAGGTTTTACCTGATTGTAATAGAGTTTTTTAAAATTTACTTATTTTTATTTCATGTGCATTGGTGTTTTGTCTGCATGTATGTCTGTATGAGAGTGTCAGATTCCCTGAACTAGAATTATAGATGGTTGTGAGGGGCCATGTGGGTGCTGGGAATTGAACCTGGATCCTCTAGAAGAACAGCCAGTGCTCTTAATCTTTTAGCCACCTCTCCAGACCCCAGTAATAGAAAATTTTAAGAAGTAAGCCACTGGCGTTTTTGAGAGAGGGGAATGATTGTGTTTCCCCAGCATAAATGCATGTGATTGGCAGAAGCTGATTGTCTTGATCTAAACAGAGACACATGAATTTTTTTTCAAGCTCACGAACTGTGCACCAGAGCATTTAAAGTCTACTATTTACTAATTCATGGTGGATGACAAAAATGGCCCTCAATTAGAGAGAGTCAAGATAATAGCCACATAGACTGTGTGACTGGTTACTTGGTAAGCACAGTAGGGGGTCTAGTCAGAAGGTTAAAATAATTAGTCTAGAGAAACCACAAAACTACCTGTGGATGTAATTTCTGAATCTCTCAGACATCAGTCATTTCTTTCGTTCTATTTTCCCATCCATAGTGTTGAAGACTAAGCCTTGGTAAGGATGACTTACCCCCATTTCAACCATGGATTCTGTTGCATGACCTGAAAGTAGAGCCCACAGTTCGTGACAAGATGTTGACGATTTGTGGAAGAATTAAAGGTTGTGACAGTAATCTGTGACTCGGTTCATCTCTGTAGTAAAGATAATGGGAGAGGAGGGGGGTGTAGAAGGAAGGGAAGATTAGGTCCATTTTCCGTCATTCCCCCTTAAGGGTCCCCCTTTGCTTCCCCTTCAGGAAGTGGAGTAGAAAAAAAAAACCTGCATTCGTCAGTAACTCTGGGTCAACCACAACTTACAGACAGTAAGGAGGTCAATGGAAACAGGGACAGTGATTGGTATAAAAGTGACAGGTACTACCGTTGACATACCCAGGGAGACACACTCAGAAGAAAGTGTTTCCTGAACGAGGAAGCAACCAGCGGGAAACAAGCATGAAGGGTCCATGTGAGACAACCATGGTGAGTGGTGCTGATGTCCAGGGTGAGGGGAACCATGTCTAAACTTTAAGAAAGGGAGATTACTAAGGCTTTAGACCTTCTCGGAGTTGTTTGTGAATTAGTTCTTTTAAAAAAATGAAGTTAAGTTTAATTTTTGATTTGTCTGGTGGAGAAAAAGAAAAAGAAATGAGCAAACCAACAACGGCAAAGTTATAAGGGGTGGGAATCATATGCTCTTACCTGATGGATTTTGCTCAGATGGGTTAGGGTGTGTGTCTGGTATCACAAGGGACCATCGTGGTGTCTCTTAGCTACTCATTATAGACTCAGGTTGTCCTGAAATGTAATGTACTAATGTACTTGATGGTGATAGCCAGGCGCTCTCTCTCTTTCTCTCTCTCTCTCTCTCTCTCTCTCTCTCTCTCTCTCTCTCTCTCTCTCTCTCTCTCTCTCTCTCTCTCTCTCTCTCAAAAAAATATATATATATATGTGCGTGCGTGCGTGCGTGCGTGCGTGTGTGTGTGTGTGTGTGTGTGTGTGTGTATAAATTCCAAGGAAGGAATAGCTATGCGATATCACATATAATAGTATCTAATACACATCAGGTATTAATATATAACAAAAATCCCAGGGAACCCCAGGCTTGATTCTTCCAAGACTATAGTAGTATTTTGAGTGGAGGAAGTAGAGAACCACCCAGTTAAACTTTTAGATAGCTCCCTGGAGACGCTTTCCATGTCTTTGATACCTGATTAATTAATTAATTATTTAATTGCATGGTCTTACTCCTTCTCGGAGCTAGTGGAATATTAATGTGATAGAATTCTACTCCTCACTGCTTGCAACTAGAATCATGCCTGATGTTAATTGAGAAACCTAGGAAGGGTTTGATATAGAGGAACATGGACCAGGCTTAGGAAATCACACACTATTATTGGTCCTGATTGTCCTCTGATTTTCCTTGTATAAGCCTTGCAGCTTCGAGAAGCTTGGCTTTTATAAAGGGCTTGTGCCTTTTGACAATGGTGGTATTTACTTGTTTATTAGTATGTTATTTTAGAGATTACAATAAGCCACCAAGGTACAGTATTTAGGGACATAAGGCTTAGAAGTCACAAGTTTTGGCTCTGCCACCTGCTAAATGTGGGATTTGGCATTAGTCATTACCTTTCGTGAATTTAATTTTCTCAGCTATGCAGCAGCATAATAATAGCATCTCCCTTACAGTGTTTTGGGGAAGGGATTAACTGACATATTGGGATGAATCTATATTTGTGAGGTAGATCATGGGTGCTTAGTTTTCAGTTAATTTGGTCACTCTAATTTGCTATAAGAGAAAAAGGTAGAAAAAGTATGTAGATGTTAATTCTTAATATTATTGTTTTTGCTTTTTGTGACAAGATCTTCCTGTGCGACCCAGGCTAGTCTTGAGTTTGCTATGTAACTCAGACTGGTCTGGGACTGAGAGGCCATTTTTCTGCCTCACTCTCTCGAGTGCTGGAACTACAGGAGTGTGCCACCAAGCCTGGCTCCGTGTTACTATCATGACCTCTGAGACCCTCATCAACCCACAGAAGTAGATAGTGAATATTTTCCCCATTACACAGAGAAAAGGAGCTCAGACATCTGTTTGTTGTTTGCTGTCATTTAATACTGGAATGCAGAACTGAGACCTGCATCTAGGTTTTCTGGCTCCAGCAATAATCGTTTGCTCCTCTGAGGATGATTGACAGGCAAGATAGTCGTTTAATGCACCAGACCATTTCTGTTTTTCTTTTGGATTGTCACCAAGAATCATGGAAGTGAAAGTAACATGGAAATAGGATTGAGTTAGGAGGGGATACTCTCTGGTAAGTGAGGTAAATGTGGATGGCACCTGGAGCTGACCAGGTTCTGAAGCCTACTCCTGCGTGAGGACGTTACAGATTACAGGCTGGTGTAGGGGCAAGTATGTGGATGCTCTCTTAGCTGCTCACCCCAGAGTAACGCCCAAAGCTAAGCTGCAAAGGCTCACATCCCATCCCTGTCCACCTCCAGCTTCAGTACTCTCCTTCCTGTTTCTCCTTCCACACGATGAGAACCATATCTACTAATATATTTTAAAGGTGGCATATACGAATTCAAGCCTGTAAAACACTCAGCTTCCCTGGGAAGTATTGTTCGCATTGTTCTTTGACTCAGCACCAGCCTTATAAGAGCTTAAAAACACTAAAAACGACACTGTCAAGAAGCAAGCAGTGACTCGCTGATATTATATGATTTCCTGATAAAGACTGTGTGGCTTCCAGTGCCTCTGTCTCTCAGATGCAGTGGACAGAGTATTTAGCGTTCTTAGCTCCTGTAAGGACACACAACTAAGACTGATGTTGATAATGGCAGTAATGACCTTCGAAGGCTGTGACCAAGCATTGCCATGGAAGGTGGAGCCTGTAGACTGGCATTCAGAGGCTGGGGAGTGCTGCCAATTTGTTTATTGCCTCTCAGACTAAGTCCTTCACTTAGCTGGTTAGATAATTAAGATGAGCTCTGTCTCCTTCATGAGGAAGAGGATAGAATCTAGTGTCTAAAGAGGTGTGAAAATGCTTTCTAAAATATGCCAAGAAAATTTAAATATTATTATTATTATTATTAATAACTGGTTAGGAGCATGGCAATTGTCTTAGTTATTTTTTCTGTCACTGTGATAGAACACCAGGAACAAGGCAATATATGAAAAAGAAAGAGTTTAATTTGGGGCTTACAGTTTCTGAGGGTTAGCTCCATGCTCATCATGGCTGCAGGCACGTAGGCCTGGTGTTGAATCAGTGGCTGAGACCACACATCTTTTTTTTTTTTTTTTTTTTTTTTTGGTTTTCTTGAGACAGGGTTTCTCTGTATTGTTTTGGAGGCTGTCCTGGCACTCGCTCTGTAGACCAGGCTGACCTTGAACTCACAGAGATCCACCTGCCTCTGCCTCCCAAGTGCTGGGATTAAAGGCGTGTGCCACCAACGCCCGGCCTAGACCACACATCTTGAGACATAACTTTCAGGCAGAAAGAACTAACTGGGGATGATGTAAGACTTTTGAAAAAAAAATCAAAGCCCACCCCGGTGACATACTTCCTTTAACAAGACCACATACTCACCTATGGGGGGCCCTCTCATTCAAACCATGACAATAGTTATCATGAAAATTGGAAGTGAGGCAATGAGCATGATACACAAGAGGAAAGAGAGGACTGGAGGGAGAACTTAAGAAACCTACGTAGTTGGTAGGTGAGTGGCTATGTTTTCTAAATTTCCAAGCACTTGTGAAGACGGCATCCCACATCCCTCTCACACACAGTGAGTGTAACAATGCCAAAAGTTGTCACCTGTCTCAGACCCTTACCATGATCTTACAGGGCTCTTTGGGTTTATGTGGATGTAGGAAGCCAAGTCACTGTGGTGTGAGTCCCAGAATTGACAGTTGACTCTAGAGATAATGCCCCAAACCACAACACTGGTCCTAAGGACTAGTTACTGAGTGAAAGAATGATTGTAGAGGTGAAAACATGTGACTATTGATTATCTGGAGGTAAATCTACTTCATTCTGCTTCTTGACTTCTACTTATTACCAGTGGTCTTGGTACAGCAGGTTCCATGACCTTTCTGTTTGTTCTGGGCATTTCTTGCCTCCAGTGTGATAAAATAACAGGCATGCCTTTTAAACCAACACACACAGTCACTTTTCCCACCTCCACAGTATGAACCTGAACAACACAGAGCCCAGAAATGGAAAGCTCAGCTTCAGCTCTTCCGTCCATCCCCAGTAAGGGTCAAGCAGGGATGGCGGTGTGGGCAAAGGCTATTCACAAAAAAAGGGAAGCTGTTGAGTTCTTAGCTCCTCCTGTGGGTAGGTCTTCACCGAGTACCTTCTTTGTGTGTTCCTGTAGCACCAAATAAACTGATATTTCAGTGTTAGTGTTGAAAACACATATGCCAGAGCTTAAAGAAATGACTTCTATGCTCTGCTGTTGTGTGCCATTAGTGCCCCTGCTTCTTTTAATTAGCATCGATAATTGGAAGTTTGCTGGATTGGTTTTGCATAATCTTTTACTCAGTGAGCTGAGTTCAACTAAACTGCTTAATTTAACTGTGTCACCCTGCTCATTCATTCATTTATCCATTCTTTCATTCATTCAGAAAGTTTTTATGGACAGGTCTAAGTCTGATGTGAACACAGATAATACCTTTCTAGAGAGCATAGAAATGCTTCTTGAGTGATAATAATCTTTATTCTTTAATGTTGATAAATATACTTCTGATTGAACTACGTATGAATGGGGATTTACGTCCTGGAGGAAGGCTTTGTCTGGGGATAAATTCAAGAAGGGTTCAATCAGCAGTCTTTCTGGTTTGTACCTTGATAACATTAGATATGACTGTTCTGATTGCCAGCGATTACCTATACTATAGAAAGAAAGAAACCTTGATCCCACAGAGACCCCACATACAGAGTTAGAGTTCAGCTTCATCACCACCAGAGCTCTAACCCTTGGCAATCTTCTCTATTTTCCAGGTCAAGTGCCTGCTGCTGCTGATGTTGGGGCTTGCCATCCTCAGGGAGGTAGCAGCTCGCAAAAACCCCAAAGCCCCAGGGGCTCTGGTCCCTCAGAAGGCTGGGAATTGCCCCCCTCTGGAGGATAACAGTGTGAGAGTTGACATTCGCATCTTCAGTCAAAACCAGGGCATTTATGTCTCACAGGACTTCCAAAACCGCTCCAGCTCCCCGTGGGATTACAAGTAAGTCAGGGAAGATAGATACACACAGTCCAATGAACAGTGTGCTAAACCAGATGTGGAGGTGCATGACTTTAAGCCCAGCACTTAGGAGGCAGAGGCAGGTAGATCTCTGAGTTCAAGGCCAGCTTGATCTAGTGAGCTCCAGGACAGCCAGAACTATATAGTGAGACCCTGTCTTGAAAAAAACCAAACCAAACCGAAGGAAAAAGAAAAGAAAAAGAATGAAAGGAGAACAGTGTTCTAAATTATTTTGATTATAAAGCCTCATTCCTCTGAGTACTCCGGAGTCACATTCACTCTTTTTTTCCCCCCGAGATGGAGGTCTCACTTTGTAGCCCAGGTTGCCCTGGAACTTCATAGGAAGCCCAGGCCTTCTGAGGCCTGGCTTCACATTCATCCTTTGCCACAGAAATTTCACTTTTTCCAGGAGCTCATCTCTCTCTTGCTTTCTGGCCCTGGTTCACCTGTGTGGTTGAAAGTCTTAGTGTTTTTCAGCCTGCGTTATTTATCATCACTGCAGGAGGACAAGTGGAAACCAGAAGTCAGTTTAAGGATATACTCAGATTACACGTTACTCTTTGAGTAGTGAGGGTAAGAGACCAGTCAGGAAGAAAAGGCAGCTTGGGATGGAGATGCCAGCTGTGTAGGGCAGAGTCTTGTGATTTTTGGCTTAAGATACAGGTCCTGGAAATGCTGAGCTCCCTCTTGTACTCTTTAAGGACATCATAAAAACTGATTCCAGGAACAAAGCAGTGTTTTGGGGCTCCTGCATAGCCCCCTCACTTCTCGAGGGGTGTGTGCACTGTGGCCAGCCTGCTCTGCTGCCTGTCTCCAGGCAGAGGTGCCTATCAAGAGAGAAACTGAGAGAGACTGTGGAGTCACAGATCTCTAAGGGCTTTGATTTTCCTTTCCAAGCAGTGAGTTTTATGGATTGGACACTGAGAGAACTTATAGGCATGCCAATTTCTGCTTAAAGGATATGTAAAATTGTAGTAATAACAATGCAAATAAAAACTAGGCCTAAGAGTAACTAAACCCTAACACTGTTTATGGGGTTGCTTTACGTGCATTCATACTATGCACAATCCTCTCCAATCCCCTGGGAGAGTGATAGGGTGAGGAGCCCCATTTTATGGTGCAGGCATCTGGGGCATAGGATGTTATTTAACAGCTAGAGCTTGGTCTAAGAATCTAGAGCCTGTGCTGTTCCCTGTGTGACTCAGACCCGATGCTGCTGGAGTCCTTCTCTCTTCCTCTTCCTGGTCTTAACATCTGGCTTTGCCATTTTTTCTTCTTCAGCATCACCCGAGACCCCCACCGGTTCCCCTCAGAGATTGCTGAGGCTCAGTGCAGATATTCAGGCTGCATCAATGCACAGGGACAGGAAGACAGCTCCATGAACTCCGTTGCCATCCAGCAAGAAATCCTGGTCCTCAGGAGGGAGCCCCAGGGCTGTTCTAATTCCTTCAGGCTGGAGAAGATGCGGGTGAAAGTTGGCTGCACCTGTGTGGCTCCCATCGTCCACCGCGCAGCCTGACAAAGCTACGCATCAGACTCAGTTGAAGAAACTGAGTGAATGCCTCTCTTTATCCAGTGCTCTGCAAAAAGCCTGATGGCCAAGTCTCTCTGCCTCCTAGGATTCTTAGTAAGATGTTCCTGGCATTCTTGAAGCTCTGTATTAGCTATAGTGTTAACTTTCTGGCATGCTTTAGAATTGTGACTAGTCCTGATATGTTCCAATGCCTTAACCTTCTGAAACTGAAGGAGAATTACAGCACCCTTGGCCCAACCTCTTTATGTTACATGATGACCGTATTTTTTTTGTATCAATACTGTCACTTTCATACAGTATCGTTCTTGTAGAGTTCAATGATGGAAAGGAAGAAAACACATTCAGAATGTTTGGGAGGAGGCTGTGTGGGATGGGCTGGATCAGCAAAAATGGGGCAGGGATCTGCTATATGTGTCCATTGAAAGTTTGCTACACATAAAGGAGGGTGGCATAAACTATTATGTATTTATATTTGTAGGAGAACTATACGCATATTTATGACCTATTGATTATATAAAATTAGTAAAAATTAATATATCCATTATGTAATAAAATATTATTAATTAAAAATATTTGAAGCATGTGCTGGTTAGTTTTCGTCAACTTGATGCAAACACCAACCATCTGGCAAGAGGGAACCACAGTTGAGGAACTGCCCTCATCACGTTAGTCTCTGGGAATGTCTGGGGGATATCTTCTTGATTGATGACTGTTGCGGAAGGACCCAGGCCATTGTGGGTGGTGCCACCTGTGGGCAGGTGGTCTTGAGCTGTATTAGAAAGCAGGCTGGCCAGGGTGTGGAGTGAGCCAGTGAGCAGCATCCCTTCATCATTTCCTCTTTAGTTCCTTCCTTGAGTTTCTGCCTTGAGTTCTTGCCATGACTCGCGCTACAAAGTGGAGGAAGATGTACGTAGAAGGGTCACAGTGTGGGCAGCAGCCACCCCCAGAACCCTGACATTAGGGCCATGCAGTTCCTTTGCCTCTTTCTCCCTATGACTTCTAGACCTTATGGGGTCTTTTGTCGGATTCCTTTGCTACTGGGAGATACACAGAACACAGGGCTCAGTCTCTGGAAACTTATGTCTCCCTTTTCTGGATACAGCACAGCACATCTTTCTGTTACTGCTAGCATGCCACCAGCTTTAAGGACATCCACATGAATTCTGTGCTCCAGGTGCCAGTGAGGAAGTGGAATGTGAGGTCTTTCTCCTAACTGGGATTTGGTTTTGGAACGGGCAGATAGTAGGGGCTTGGAGCTTCCATTTCTAACGTATATGTGATCTAGTGATGGGAAGGAGGGTCAGTGTGCTCTTTTCACGTATTCACAAATGGGCCCTGCTGCAGACAACAGTAGGCTTCATTGCCTAACAGGCCACCTGTGCCTCGTTCTGTGCGCTGGATTGTAGAAATGATGGAAGCCTGGCAACATTTCCCAAGATAACTCCGGTGATGTAATGAGTAAGGATATCACAACTCATAAGATGTACATTTATCCATCTCACTCCTGAAATGTATTACTTCTTTTCCAAAGTACACCCATGGAGTAGATGACAGTGAACTTTGATGGTGGGTACCAGGGTACATTTGCTTTTGTTATTTATTGCTTTTAGGTCAGTTAAGGTTGGAGAGACATTCCTCTTGATGGTGGTCTCACATTGTAAAGGTCAAATAGACCATGATAGACCCTGAGATACTACCTTCATTTATGAATGTAACCTGGAGAAATTAGTTGATTTGTTCAAGGTCACTCAAGTGGCAGGAACAGGTTCACAGGCTCCAAGTTCAAGACCTTTGCATTTTGGCTTTCCAGCACTGCCAGGGTGTGTCTGATAAAGATCCATGCCAGTCATTTCTCTGTGTGGACTTGCATTGGCCATGGGAGAGGATATAGAAGTACCACACCCTGTGTCTCCAAACACATGGCTCACTGAGCCCCCAGAGGCTGAGCAAGCTTGCCTTCTTGGCTTGTGGCTGAAGCTGAAACTGTACACCTTCTTCTACACACGAGGTGGCACACTGCACCCACGTGTTCTTGAATTCTTCTAGCAAAGATAGAAAAGAGGAATGGCTGCTCTATGGGTGCATCTGTTTGCTCAGGTGATGTGAGTGAGACACCACGGAGCAGAACGAGCATGCTGTGGTCATCGGCTTTGCCAAGCTGTCTGAGAGGCAGAAGTCCCCATTCTGCCTGAAGATACAGACTAAGTTGAATGGTTTAGGTTTTTGAACAGAGACTTTCTCTCAGTGTGTGGAGAGATTTCCTCATAGAAACTTGAAAGCACATAGCTTTCTTTCCTTCCTTTTCTTCTCTTCCCTCCCTCCATGATTTGCTTGTTTGCTGCCCTCTCTCCAATGTCTCATATGGACAAAGCTGTCCTAGGGCTTGAACTTCTGATCCTCCTGCACCCACCTCCTGAGTGCTGGGGTTACAGGTAGGTACCACCACACTTAGTTTCATGGGGCATGCTGGGCAGCAACTGAACTGCATTCCTAGCACACACATAGTTACTTATTTTTAGTTATTTATGAAGGTCTCAGATGAGAGGAAAAATAATATCCCCTTTCCCCCCACCATGCCCTTGTCCTAAAAACAATAACAAAAGCAAATGTACCTTTGTACCCAACATTGAAGTTCATTGTTATCTACTCCCCGGGTGTAAATCGGAAAAGAAGCAAGACATTTCAGAGTGAGATGTGATCACTGAATAAATGCACATCTTAGGAGTTGCGATATCGTTACTCATCAGTGGGGACCAGTTTTGAGCTTTACTCAGTAGCAAAGAAGACTATATTTTAAAACTAAGACTAAGACAGAGAACGACTGTGACGGTGTGTTTTCATGTGGAGAGTATCTACTTCTTCCTTTAAGATGTGCAAACGTCATAACAATATCGGAGATCGCCGCAGGATGACTGAGTGCAAGCATGCTGGAGCCGGATGCTGGGGTAAAATACTCAGTTTGGATCCTACTGTTTCGTGCTGATTACTAGAGATTTGAGCAAGTTACTCAGACCTGCTCTGCTTGCCTTTCTTCAGTTGTAAGATGGGCGTGTTGTCAGTGCCAACCTCACAGAGTTTCTAAAAAGATTCTATTTGAGTTTTTAAAATTATATATATGTGTGTGCCTTTGTGCATGTGACCATAGGGTCCAGAAGTAGGTGTCAGATCCCCTGGCACTTGAGTTATGGGTAGCTGTGAGCTGCCCCATGTGGGTGCTGGGAATTGAACTTGGTCTTATGCAAGAGCAACAAGAACTTAACTTCTGAACCATCTCCCCAGCCCTCCCTGTACCAAGTAGAGTTTTTAAGAGGACAGTATTAATAAGGTGATTGGTTAAGGATAGAATAAGGTGATTGGTTGAGGTGCTTAAGCCAGTAGCTGGCATCAGGGCCACCGTGGCACATGCTTCTGATCCAAGTGTTCAGTAACTATTATTTATAAAGAGAGGTTCTTAGGCTACAGTTAAGTCTACAACTGTGTCATAGGGCCCAGATATGCCAATCCCTGGCATACACCTAATGGGCCTAGCATCCTACCACAGAGACCCTTGCTCAGCCGTGTTCCTTTCTGCTGTATTCACAATAGCTAGGAAATGGAAACAGCATAAATGTCCTTCAACTGATGTGTGAAAATCTGACACATGTCCACAGTGGATTCTACTTAGCTGTAAAGAAAGAAATGAAATCATAAAATTTTCTGTGAAATAGGTGAGGCTGGAAAATATGCTGAGTAAGGGAACCCAGACCCAGAAAGAGAGATGTCGCACATCCTCTCTTAGTTGTAGACACTAGTTCTGAATCCTTAGATTTGAGAGTCTAACCTGAGTGATTGTGAGTGCTTGGGAAGTAGAATGGGAGCATGGGGAGAGGAGGGAGAGGAAGAGGAGGTAGTAGGATACCCATGAAGGGGACAATGGGATAAAGAATGGCTGAGGGACTTTAATGGGGGATGGAGAGAGGGGCCAATACAGAGGAAGGAGAAAGGGGAGATAGCACTAAGAATGCTTGAGAAACTCATAGAGAACTTTTAAAAATAAATTTCCTTAGTCATATGGTATCTTATCACACACACACACACACACACACACACACACTCTTTTAACTAGAGTTACACATGAGGGAATAATGTCCCCCCCAACAGCCATAGACTATCTAACAAAACCTCCTTTTGAGTTGTGGAACAGAGGGGTTCAAGAGACCACCCCAAAACCAAATTATGTTGCTGCCATTGCCTTTGGGTCTTCTAGAACATGGAATTGAGCTCCCATTGCTGAAGATATCACACACTTGGAATACTAGACTTGGAGGAATTGAGATGGGGTTGATCTTAAAGCCTCCTCTTTGAGAACTAAGTCTCATAGGGTAGGAAGGTGCTATCTTAGCTGCCAACAGGAAAACAAACAAACAAAAACAACCAACAGCTCCATATAGCTACAAAACTTACAAACCATAACTATGACTGACTAAGCAAGATACTTTGAATGCTCCAATAGTAGCATTTTTATCATGAGAACAACTAATAACTGTCTGATTGGGCTTAAGGTCCACTCAACAGGAGGCGATTATGCCAGATATTATAAACCTACCCAACTAATTATGGTCAGAGAGATCATGGATCCTTGAAGAGAGCCTACTCCTGTCATTTTCCTAAACCAATATAATTTCCAATTGTATTTGAAATGCTTATCCTTGTACCCATAAATAAGCTCTCACCCCACCATCTAAGAAACTTCTTTTTGTAGCAGCTAGAGACTATTCTAGAGGTCCACAATTGGTCAAACTGCAGAGAACAGGTAACTGTGGGAAAACAAGTTCCAGCCAATACATCGCCAATGAAATCTCTATACAGAAGAGGGATAAGAAATGCTATAAGAGCCAGAGGACCAGGATGCCTGCTCCAAGGTTCTGTCTTCTAAGCAAGGCAGGGAAGCTACATCCTTGAGATCTCAACAAAATCTGAATAACAACACTCGCTAACATGACAATACGAATAGAAAATTTCACAAGGCCTACCCAAGATGAATAGTTACAATGACTACCAAGAGAGGGAGAATCGGTTTTCTTCACATGTGAGCTGCCCTGATACATTATCCAATCCCAAGTGGTTGTCTCTAAGTGATGTGCATCGGAGCAACACCAAATGGATTTAATAGGTTTGAGAAGGGGAAGGAGAGAGCTTGAAATGATGTAAATATAGTTCCATCTATGAAATTCCCCCAAAATTAAAAAAATAGATACAATGTTACTTAAAAACAAATTATGAACTATGTCATATAGACAAAAGACACTTTCTCCTCTCTCAATACCTTTCACGTTAAAATTCAGTATACATGTGTTTCCACATCAATAGCTTACCTTGGACAAATTACTTTTTTTGCTTCATTTTTCCTAACTATAAAATGGGTGAGAATAATATCCCCCTCCAAGGTTTGGGAGACTCTTTAAGAGAAGTATTGATTGTAAAATATTCAGA